TTTACACATTAGTTATTTTTTCACAATGCAGTCATTTTGACTGTTTTTGGGCAATATAGCTATACAAGAAATCTCGGGCAATCTAGTGTTAAATATTACCAATTAAATCAATATTTATTATAATTATATAATTGTTTTTCAGTTCATGACAATAACATATGTATCGCAATTGATTTGGCTTGTAATATTCGCAATTTTAGTTATAATCACCCTGCTGTTTACTATATTTTGGGGATTGTGTAGTAATCCTCGTGTTCAATCTCTTAATCAATGCATCGATTTTACTCAATTTAGTAAGCGATTGTATTCTATTTTTTTCTTTTTTTATATAACACATTGATCGTTATATACTCGTATACATTTGACAATACAATAAAGTAATGTTTCTTTTATTTTCTTGAAGGTTTCGTATTCCCAAATAATACAAGAGTGGAAGACATGAAAGTATGCGGATCCCAAGTGAAACTCTTTTGTAAAGATTTTGTACAAAATGCAGAAGTTATGTTTATTTTAGCAACGGTTGCTGCCATTTTGGCTATTCTAAGCTTGACGCATTACCTTATGTGTTTATCTGCTAATTACGCACACATTCGTGATCATGAAAAATTCCAAGAATTACAAGAACTTCAATATCTTCAAGATCCTGGTGATCCAGACTCTCCGCAACCTGGAATGGGAACTTTGAGCTCTCATCATCATGCTAAAGATAGATTCTAGGATACAGCCCGCGAGATCTTTGCTATGAATCCATTATAACGTTGACTGCTTCCATCGATAGGAGCTATGAAAGTTAAGAACTGGATATGCTACTGGACCAACAACTTTATTCTATTATTTTTTCATTGTATGTACCTATAACTCAGTATTCTACTTATCAACAATTAGTCGCAGTAGTCTACTGATTCAGAGGATCTTGCGGGAATACTCTATGCCGTCCATTTATCTGCGACTGTCTTGTAAGCATTTACATTCCTTTATGTTAAAGAGTTTCTTTTTTTTTTTTTTTTTTTTATTCTATATACAAATTTTAATCTATATATAAAAAAAAAAAAAAAAAACGGACAATATTATTAAGATTTTTTTTTACTCGTTATCATTTGTGTGTTCATTAAATTAAAATAATTATCTATATATAAATTTTTTTAGCAAAATTGTAGAAAATAGTATATATTTTATGGATAAATAATTCTATATATATTGTCTCTATAATAATAATCATATATTAGTATATTAGTCGATATAAAGCACAATTTTTCCCTTAATAATTAATAATGAAAAGACAATATAGTTTATTTTGAAGAAAATGTTGGTGTGCCAAATTATTAACAAAAAAGATGAAATCATTGAAAAAAATAAATAATAATACATATTTATTGCACGTTAATGTTAAAAAAGAAAGACACGATATTTGAATAATATTCATAGATATTGAAAATGTCTGACTGATGATCAATTCTTTGCCTACTCGACTTATTTAATACGTACGTATTATGTGCATCAATGATCTAATAACCAGACTGAGATTATATGTATTATCATATTCAGTACAAAATTAATTTTGTATTCTTATCTTTTGAGTATATAATTTAGAGAAAGAGTTGCACATTGATTTGGTATAAATGAAATTATATAAAAATAATTTCGTTTTGGATACTTTATATACAATTTAAAAGCACTTTTATAATTACAATGTATTAAAAACAAAAGAAAAAGAAAACTAATAAAAAACAAACCAGAAGAAATATAACAATGAAGTTTAATGCGATGCATAAGAATATTTGACAATAATATTTTTCGAATAATCCATTGGTATAAAGAAATGTATTTTTTTAAATTTACGATTATAATTACTTTCATTTTGTACAGGTTTAGTTAGATTGGATGTATTCATCATCAAATTGAAAATCCAATTCAAGATCAAGCGCATTGACTTCTTGCAGTGTATTAATGAATGTATATCGTGAAAAAATCATATATAGCTTTCTGAACCAAACATATTGAGACTGGTGTGCTTTCATGGCGCTCTATAAAATGAGAAAAATATATTTCTATAAGAGATAAGATTAGAGTATATTTGTTTTCAATTTTAACAAAAGGAAACAATAAAAAAAAAAAAAAAGAAAAAAAAAAAGAGAAAATAAACAGAGGAAAGGGAATTTGTTAAATTTACGTGTTAAAAAGATGTTGAATATATTCAAACTTACAGTTATATTTGTTCTCTGTTCATATGTAAGTAAATACCAGTAAGACGCAGAAAGTAAACTGATTGGTAAATCTAAGAGCTGTACATATTTTCTAATAATGTTCACAGATTCCAACACATATAACTTGCAATCTGTAATTGATTTGCACTACTCGTTATGCGATTCATATTTGTTAAATTAATCATAGTTAAGTACTAAGGAGATACTAACAGGATGGCACTTTCTTTTCAATGCATAATGCAGCAATTGCAAAATAGAGAGAAATATGATTTTTATGCTTGCTTACACCATGTTTATCAAAAGTAATAACAGCATTTATTTGATAGCTCTCTATATAATGTAATATACTTTCAGCTAAAACATCAATTGGCCATTGTACAGATTGACTGTCTGGTAATTCGCTGCTCCTGTAAATGAATTGAAATGAATCGAAATGAATTGATTGGATAAACTTTAGATGTGTAATCTATCAAGAAGTACAATTACTACTCACATTATAATAGTTACATTTTCTTCAGGTATACCGAGTATTTTTGCACAGTTCCATAATTCTGTTTTCCTTCGTTTATCTCCTCCTACAATGAGACTTATAAACATCAGTGGGGACAATTATCGCATATATAAACTATGAATATATTCATATATCTATATTCTTACATGAATATATTCATTTATATGTATATATACCAGAGGAGAAACACAGTAGATATAAATTGGTGATCTTTGATCGAGTGACCCAATATATTATAGGTCCGAAAAACATAACTTCGTCATCGGGATGCGCGGTAACCAACAATATTCTATGAGGAGGGCCAGGTAATTGCCACGCAGCATGATTAACTCTTTTTAAGATTACATAGAAAAATATACAAACGCAAATATAGGCGAGAAAAGCTATTAGCAATTGATAAGAAATTTCTCTTATGTAATGACTCCACCAGTAGAGTAATTCTTTAACTTGATTCTTCAAATACAAGTTTATCAAATGAATATCTAATATTTCTAAAATCCACATATTTCACGTATGTATGATGGATGATTTACGAATAAATATATACATATATAAATATTAACGTTTAGTATAGAAAATTAAAAGATAAATCATTTGGAAGAAATATGGAGGTTATGTTATTGGTAATTCTTATAATTAGAATCAACGTTTTGTATAAGACTTTGACTTTTATACAAATGACTTCTAATCATTCTTTTACGATAATTAATAATGAATATGTTTTTTTGCTCAATGTTCATCTCGAATACAAATTTATTCTTTGTTTACTTGAATAAAATTATTTTATCAACTATATCATTTTCACAATGATAATATTCAAGATTTAAAATGACTAAAATAAATAATATGGCACACACACTTTAAATGAGATTCACTAATTTGTAATATTAATCATTTTTAAATGTGAACATTGTGTAATCTTTTCACGCGAACACAAAGTAGGGATTTAAATAATATTTTTCATAACAAGGATACCACTACTTGAAACATTAATTGTATTTTTATTTGTCGTTTTAGATGGTGCTGCTGTAGCAAAACGAGGGAGCCTATCAGCGCAGCCTATCAGCGCAGCCTATCATTGTAGATGGGGTTGTATTATTATACCGTGCTGTTAAGTTGGTCTTATTATTATTTCTTTCTTAAACATTTGTTTTTCAAGACAAATTAAATTAAATGATTATTGTTGCAAGCATTATAAATAAGTAGAAACTCATGTCGTTATTATTAATGCATTTATTTTATTATGTATTATATCTTTTGCAGAATGCTGTAACGGTTTTCATAAGAATTCTCGAAGAGATTAGGTAGTAAAGGTTATGTTAATAGTTTATTGGAAAACTTAGTGAAATATTCAAACACTAGGATGATTGATAAAAGTGAAAAGATCGATCTGTATCGTGACACTTCTGTAAGATATTTGGGTAATATTAATTCAGTTATTAATTACTGTCACCTCAATTTTCATTGATCATTGTAACTTTCAACAGTTTCAATTTCAATGCTAGTTTCAAAAGGTTCTTATTATTTTGTTACAGGTTACGCTAATGAAGTTGGAGAAGCATTTCGACCCTTGATTCCAAAGTCTATCGTATGGTTAAGTTATATTATTTCTTCTGGTTATGTCTTAGCCGATACCATGGATAAAGGCTATCGTGTATATAAGGTAAAGTAATTCTCTGTTATTAAAGATGAAGTTTATACAAATATATCTGTCTATATTTGTTATCATTTTATTTACAGATCGATCAGAGTCCACAGAAGACGAAGCGCGTTGTATTATCTACGACAGACACTTTACTATGGCAATCATTTGCATCCGTCATAATACCAGGCTTAACAATTAACAGAATTTGTATGTTAGTACAATATGCACAAAAAAGAACATCGAGCTTAGGTTTAAAGAATCCTTGGATTCCAACGATCATTGGTTTAGTATCTATACCATTTATAATCCATCCTATAGATTATGCTGTAGAAGAAACAATGAATGTTACTTATAGAAAATGGATTGGTCATTATTCGAAATTAGAAAGTAACAAATTTGAAGATGACAAGTAAAGAAAATAACGCAGTGATGTCCTTAAAGTGCACTTTAATATTCGAGTACGATAATTAATTGATATTTTTTATTGCCTTTTGTAAATTATCGTACTCTCAAATGGATGAAACGTAATTCGAATACGTTTAGTATTTTGTTACTTTGCTAAAGTTTGTGCTTTAATGCGCAATAAAACGTATTGATTATTGTAACGTTTACGAATAGTTTCGTAATTTCTCCTTTTTATGATTCCACGATAAAAGTTTATTATAATTGTGGTGGTCTCTCACTGGAGAATTTCATATATTACAGGATATTTACAGGATATTTACAGGATATTTTTGTTGTCTACCCCCTATTCCTCTCGTGATATTTCTAAACTTTTATTTTGAATTAATATTTTGTCCAGTTAAATAAATAAGATCGTAATCGTTAAAAGAATGGAAAGAAAAATAAGTGTATATTATCGATTTCAATGAAAGCTTGCAAAATCGAACGGTGATTTGGAATAATCTTTCCCTCTCTGGCTGTTTTTAAAAATCGATCGATGAAGGGTTCGAGAGTGGGGAAAAGGGGAGGTGCGTCTTGGTGCGTCTTTGTGCGTCTTTGTGCGTCGCGACGCGATAAAGGTCTCGGAGGGAGGGAGCATGGCGCGAAAGGGACTAGTCGCGTGTCGCGAGATAAAAAAAAGAACGGGAGATAGAATAAAATCAAATGAAATCGTGACGTTTCGTGCTTTTATAACTTTTTTAAGATAACAAAGTTGAAAGCGAGGGATTTTGAAAGAAAAGTCGTGGATTTTTGTGTGGATAAATGTAGAGAAACATAAGTAGGAGGAAAAGAAAGAATTATAAAATAAAAATAAAAAGAAGAAGGAAGGAGGAGGAAGGAAAGAAAAAAAGAATCGACGAAACGCGAATTCGGCGGATACTTTTGTTTTCTTTTCTTTTTACCTCTTTCTCTCTGTCACTCTCTCTTTCTCTTTTGTTTGTTTCGGTTGAAAAAAAAGGTAGGGAGGGACGCCTCCGTCGCGGCGTCGCGTCGTTCAGGTACGGCCATTCCACGGCCATGCCTGGCGGCGCTGGAAATGCGGATACGCCTCTTACCTTGGTACGGAACCAATCGTGTAAGACCGGCTTTGGTTAGTGGAGGAGCGCGGGAGCCGAGGGGGTGTGTCCATTGGCTGCTCCTAGGCGTGGTCACGGGGGATAGGAGTGAGCGAAAGGAGTGGGGATGGGCGAACAGCGAACGGCGGCGCAGGTGCAGCGCCAGTTTGCTGGCGAACTCGAGCGAAGTTGCGAGCGTGCTCGGGCTAGGCGCCGCCGTCTAGACGCGACGCGACGCGCTCCGAAACACCTTCGGTCCGCTCCGGTCCGCTCCGGTCCGCCCGGTTCAGTCCTTCGTATATATCTCTCATTATTATTTTAATATAAACACTCTGTCCTCTTTCTTTATTACCAACAATAACAACAACAACAAAATTATATAGTACCGTTGTTATTGCATTTTTCATATTTGGATTTTTCACGCGTCAATGTGTTGGATGGTACGATATTGAATAAGGGTGATATATCAAGGATATTATATTATTTCATCTTTTTTTTTTTTTAACAAAGATTCCTCTGATATGCTCGAGGGTATAGCAGTTGATACGGTCGACTACCGGCCGAAACTCGTCATTCTTGTTGCCATGATCCTTGGTAAATTTGTTTCGTCTTTCTTGTCGTGGACAAGATCATAGTGCGAGCCTTGTTATGCCTCGTCTTCGTTTGGTAAATCGTCGACCGGAGAAAGTAGAAGAAGAAGAGGAGGGGGAGGAGGAAGGGGAGGAGGAGGAGGAGGAGGAGGAGGAGGAGGAGGAAGAAGAAGAAGAAGAAGAAGAAGAGGAAGAAGAAAAGAGAACGTATGCGATTGTGACTTATTTTGTGAATCGAAATAAAAAATTGCGTGTTTAGTGAAGATTGAAGAATAAGAAACTCAAAGTTGCATACAGTAACTTAAAGAATACAACAAGAGAGAAAGAGGGAGAGAGAGAGAGAAAGAGAAGAAGAAGAAGAATAAAAAAAAAAGAAGTCACGGCCGCGGGGGTGGGAAACAGTGTGAGAGTGCGATTTAACGCTCGTTGGGATTTTACCGCAGTAAAAGTGGGTGCACTGGGGCCCTCGGGACCGTTCGGCCGGTACGGGCCCGTAGAAGGTGGGCCTGCTGGTGGTGGTGGTGGTGGCGGTGTTGGTGGTGGTATCGGTGGTGGAGGTGGTGGTGGTGGGCCTGTCGAGGGAGCGGTGGCCGCTGTCGCGGCTG